CCGTTGTCCAGGCTACCATCACCAGGTCGGGTTCGGTCGCTCCATTCCCCGCTGGCTCCCTGTTTCAACTACGTGCTGCACTGTAGTCGACCAAAACCCTGGATGATTTTGAAATTCCTCCCAGACATTTTTTTAGGTATGAAAAGTAGGACATGTCCGGGTAAAAGGAGGACGTCTGGTCACCTTGCCATTTTCCTGCAGCACAAATGAAAAGAAACTTGTTCATTATTTTGTAAAAATAAAAAAAATAAAGGGTTTTCCTTTGAACGATCAATTACCTTTATTTTATTAATTGATAACAGTTGGCCTGGTTTATTAATAGCATTATGTCCAGGCTTAAAGTCTGAAATCTAAAAGGCCAAAGCTAACATTCAACATGAGGTGGAAAAATTAAGTCTAAAACTAGAATCATTGCTTTCCTTTCCCTTCTCTTCTTAAACTAGAGACAAAATGTGAGGATATCTCAATCAGTGCCTGAAAAATTCCCCACTATTTCACCCATTCATTCTAATTAGTAGAATACGTTTTTTTATTGACTGTATTTCTTATTATTATATGCAAATGTGGTATAATTTATGATTTTTATTATCTAATAGTTTTAATAGTTTTTCTAATGGTTTATGATCTAATGGTGAGGACATATGGGACTAATTCACTTCAAAATTATTAAAGAAATAAATGTTTGATAATTATAACACCTCTCTGCACAGGATGGGTGCACAACGCTGCATGCTGCTGTCCGCTCTGGACACGTGGACACACTCCGTCTCCTCCTCCACCACCCAGCTCACGGTGGTCCTCCTGATCCTGCTGACAGACCACCACTGTCTGCTGCTCTCCTGAACCAGGCCAACAGCGATGGCTGGACGCCTGCACACATGGCCGCCGCCCTGGGCCTGAAGGTATGATCTATTAACGATGCACTTCAATCTGACCCAATCAATTGGAAACCACGAGAGTCTAAACACAAACAGATGAACAACCTGCAGTCACTACGATGTTGTTGGTTCTGATAGAAAATATTCACTAAACAAGGAGCTGTTAGGTGATGTTTTTGGGGCTCCTAACATTATGAAATCTGTCTTTTGTCAAATGAATACGGGTTGGTAGGAGATGGGAGCACCTTATCGTTTTAGCAGACAAAAATAATATTGAAAGGCCATAATTGGAGCGAACTAACTCTGTATTCAACAGCTCTACCATAATAGCCTCTCGGGTCTCAATAAATCCAACATAGTCTTTACTTCCTTCCTTAGAGTTGATCATTTTCCAGATGAATCAAAGGTCTATTCGTGATTTTATCTTAATTTTAAAAACAGGAAGAAATTGAAAGAAATCAGGCCTGACTCAGCATTACTGCTGTTTTACAGCAGGGTCCTGTTCTGCAGTACATAGGAAATGTGATAGAAAATGCACCGACAATTTTCTTCCAAGTATTTTGACAATTTTGTAACTGATTTATTAAAATTACTTTTGTTTGAAAAAATAGGATTTTTTTAAGAGGGTTAGGAAAAATCTTAGCCAAAAACGCCATGGCTCTAATATTTGATATACTGTAATAATTTTTTTCAGTGTTTTGTTTTTTTTTTTTTTGGCCTTGGGTTCCTAATTTTTTTTTTGTTTCTGGTTGAGGTCAAGAATTTTAATTTCAGTGCATACCCAATAACGTTAAAACAATGTATACGGCAAACAACACAGACACACTCTGACAGCAGCCATTTAACGGTGGTAAACAGTGAGAGCAGTTTTCCCAGTTAGAAATGTCCAGCAGACCTGAAGAAGACTGAGAACAAGTTTCCTGTAAAGGTATCAGCATGGCAATAGTCTATATTTGATCCCAGCTTTTGTGGAGATGATTTTTGTCCATGTCAGCTTCTAAAACCTGGCAGAGAATAACAGAAAGCAATGGGCCCAGTATTCTACCCTGCGGAACCCCCATAGAGCAGAGCAGGGACTGTGATGTAAAGTTTCTATTTTACATTACTTCAGATCTGTCTGTTAAGTTACATTAAAGCATTTATTGTACTGGAAAGGAGAATTTAAAAGAAGACAGTTTTTGCCAAATGATACGATGATCTACAGTCATTTGGTCTTTGATTTATACGCTGATGTTTTTTGCCACTTTGAACCACCTGGGGACTCCTCACAGAAAATTCAAAGTTAGTTCTCAGAATGCCAAAGCTGAGTATTTAAAGCTACAGTGTGTAACAATTACAGGGATATACAGTCAGAAATATAATAAATTATACATAACTATGTTATTTGTCATCATCTACGAGCTCAGCCTCTTAACCTTAATATTTGCGTTGCCTTAGAATTCGTTATTTATAATTACATAGGAGCGGGTCTCGCAGCCATGGAGGCAGACATCTTTGCGCTACGGCAGCGCAGAGCCAACAAACTAGCGATTGCGAGATCGCCCATTACGCTCGAAAGTAACTACGGCAAGTTGAGAGAGATGAACTGAGACGGTACTGAACAATAGATGGCAGTATTATGCCTGAGAATACTATCTGTAAAATTATCTATGTAAACAAACCTCATCACTTGAGAAGGTAGGTGATGCGGACGTCGTGGAAGACATTTTGTCCCGTAACGCTCGCCGTACTGTTGGGGGGGAGAAGCGGTGGGGGGGAGATGTTCATGTTGCTGCGGTCTGCAGTCTGGACTTTAGATGTCGCTAAAAATTACACACTGTAGCTTTAATAAATATGTAAAATAAAACATCTTGTCAACCCAACTACTTTAGTATTGGTATTGGAAGTATTATAACTTATATACATTTTATTGCAATTTACACTGCCACACAAAACGACACACACAGAAATAGCTGGATGCCAGGATTCACAAAATGCACTTAATTTCCTAATGTTTAGATCCACTCATCAACAGGTTTTTAGATATGATCAAATAAAAAAAAGACTTAAATGCTGCACATTTCTGTGCTCAGCCGAAACTTCTTGATTGGATTATTTTTTTTCTCGGATCCTAAACCTTTTCTTCTCCTCTCCAATATGGAGTATCGTTCAGTAAGGTCCACCTTTTCCATCTCCACACCAACAACTAATGGAATTACTGTCCTCTGAGGGCGGGAAACATTCAGCCTAAATGGATGCAAGAAAAGCCTGACTTAACCAGCCTGCCTGGAATAGAAATCAGAAGGGGTCTCCTTGTCCTTACACAGCATTTGAAACTGTATGCATGCTTGATTCTAACACAAATTGCAGTTCCTTTAAAGTGAGAAGTTTTTTTTCTGTCTCTCATATTAATTTGTGGTGTGTGTTTGGATATGCAGGAGTGCCTGGAGGTCCTGTGCAGCCACACTGAGCAAGATATCGAGCGGAGGGATAAGTGTAATCGCACTATTCATGACGTTGCAACGGACGACTGCAAAGATCTGTTGGAAAACCTCGGTGAGTTTCCTTCTCTAGTTTATCGATGGGGATCAGAGGCCTGATTCACTCTGGGATGGACTGAAGGGCAGAAACCATGAATTGTTTACCCTCCAGATTTTTATGTTGATCATATTGATGCATAAATCTGAGAAAATGTATTAAACTGTGTTATTATTAGGTTTAGTTGCTGTACCACAGCTCACTCCCTTCTCTTCCCTTCCCTCAAAGAAGCGTACCGGGTCCTGGTGCTCTTAGAGTACTCAGGTGGAGGAACTGGGTCCATATGTCCTATGGAAGCCCTGGAGGAAGAGGAGCAGGGCAGGGGGCTTCCCAGCAGTCAGCTCGTGCTGGGCAGGGTGACGGTGGACCGCTCAACGCGCTGGGCCCAGCTGAGAGATGCCCTCCGCCACCTGTTCATCTCCCACCTCCAGATCCTCTGTGGAGACTCTCAAACAGCTCGAGAGGAGGCGCAGTCCTCCCTGCTGGGTCTTTCTCCTGCCAGCATCTCCTGCGTTCTCATCGGTAAGGAAAGCAGCTCTTCTGTCAACATGGTTCCTCCTCTTACTCAAAGCCTGCCATTGGGTGAGGCGTTCAACGATGCCACTGCAAAAACTAGTCGTAAATTAAAAAAAATCCTGAATTAAAGCAGCACCTTAATTGGAGCAGGTAGATAAAATAATCTGCGAAAGGACTAATTAGTTCTCCTTTTGAATAAGATAATTAGGTATCTTCTTGCTCCTTTTTACACTTGATCTTGAACTTTTCTCTTTTATGGAACAACTATGCTGAGAGTTCAACACTCACTCGCCCCCATTTCTTCGGCTTGTTCACTTATTTACATGCACAGTGACATGTCAGTCAAATCATATGACTATTTACAAACTGAGCAAAAGCTAAGCTTAAAAGACTAAATTAACAAATGCTATGCAAGCAGGATGCAAACTTGTATTTATCCAGAGTGACTTACTGGTGTATAAATATAAAAAAAAAAAAAGTCATATAACATTACTATGTACCTTTGAGACACCGATATCAGTGACGAGTCAGAGAGTCTCTCAACAGCTAATAAGAACATGACTCCTAAAAATAATACAGAAATCTAAACATGTGTTTAACTTTTCTAGAATGTGACTATTTGTATTTGGCTTTTTTTTTTCGAAATGTTTTTTTTTTATAGCATTTATGTAAATCTTTTATATGATTCCTCTTTCCTTCATCCTCATGTCCCCTTGTTGTCTTCCAGGGGACACTAAGTGGTTGCCTGATCAGGAGCTGCCTTTATCTCCCTGGGATTTGGTCAGAAAGCCTCTCAGCCAGTGTGCCACCATCCGCCTCAGAGGTAACAACCCTGGCAGCCTTTATCTGCTCAGCCAACAGCAAAACGACATCAGAGCTCTGATCACTGATGACTAACACCGTTTGGTGGATAAAAGGTTTTGGTTCTTTGGCTGCATTTCATGAGCAACAGCACATGAAAGAAAACTCAGCCTGGATGGGGCATGTGAGCCAAAGAAGTGCTTTGATTGGTTAATGAAAACTAAGCCAAGCATTTTGTTTTTTTAAATAAGCTGCAGCTCACTTAATAAAATGTAAAGATGAATGCAGATAGATGAAATATTAGGTCTGGTTGTGGGGAAAAAAATGGGAAAAACGTCTGAAAAGTCAATCAACCTGGCCACTTTTCTTATTTACTATATCCTACAAATAAAAAGGCTTTCGTCTACAGCACTTTAAATTAGGACTGAAACAATAATTCAGATTATTGTCGATCAATTGAAACAACTGTCAACTAATTTGATAATCAAACTTAACCTTTACTTAGAGTGATGAAATTATAAGCTTCTTAAAGCCTATAAATATGTACAATGTAATTGAATTATTTATATATTACCACACATACACGTGTGTGTGTAAATGTCATTATAAATAGTCTCCGCAGGTTATTAAAAATCATTAAAAGTCATTAAATTATAATTTTTTTTAAATTAAGGCCTTAATTGACATTAAAATTCATTAAATGTGATTATCATAGCATTTAAAATGCTTTATGTTTAGAGCCATGGGTGCCTCATTGATGGCATTAAAGTTATTTCTAAGAGCATTCAATTAGTTACTCATTCCTGTTTAAACCCTGATAAATTAGTTGTGGGCTTATATAATTTTTTTTAGTATAGATTAATCTGACTGTAATCTTGGAATTAATCTAGATTAACATGGCTCATTTGAATTTTGCCAAAGGCATAAATGATATGCGTGTGCTACCTAAATAAGAAGTCTTTGAACAGGTTTCTGAAACCAGGTGGCGCATTAGACCAGGGGCTAATCTCCTGTTTCCAAAATGCATCACAAACTGCTTAAGAAAGCTTTTCTACTATAACTGGTGATGAAAATAAATAATATTCAATAAGATGTGTTTGTTTTTATTCAGATAAACATGACTTCTGAACTGGTGGCCTACATAATAGGTCATGATGAACTGTTTACAGTCAGTAGCTTTGTGTCAGTCAGTCCAAGCTCTATTTCTCCTTTTCCACCAGTCACTCAGGCAGACCAACTTTGGGGGCAAACTTTGGATCAACAGCATTTGAAGATAATACTAAAATCTCTGTTCAGAATATCTCTTGTGATGTGAAGATCCCGAGTTTTTTTTTTTTTTCAAATGAAATAGGCAAAAAAACAAAACACAGAACCTACATTTTCAAAAGGCTTCCCACTTTACCCACATTCACCAAAGCAATTATCAAAAAGCAATGTTGTGTACATCATTCGTGGTGTAGTCTAGTAAAATTAAATGTTAAATTACATAACACAGCCTACCTGTCTTTAGGTGGTACTTAAGACAGGAGGAACTCCTGCAGTAAACTAATTCCACATTGCACAAGGTGCAAACAGCTTTATTCTTGTTGAGTTTTCCATTGAGAAGCTTTGTAAAAATAAATGTTCTCTGAAGCAAACCTGGCGTCTTTATAGCTGCATCCATGTCAGCACGTCACGTTCAATATGGTAATTTCACAGTATATATATAACTATATATGTATATTTAAATATACATATATATATGTAGATTTTTTATACCTGTTTCAATGCAGCTATAAAAAAACCCATGCTTTGCTATTTTGTAATTCATATGAAATCCACAATAAAAGTTTCATTCATTTAAAAATTTTAATTTAATAAAAGATTCTTCTAAGATACCTGAATAAACAAAACAATAATCACTTTATTAATATGTCTGTATGACTGAAATAATAGATGGATGCAGCTCTACCTTAAATAAAATAAAACAGATGCCATTTAAGGGCCTCGACTGATTCAGTCCTTATTCCCTGCACTTGTAGCAAAGACACTAATAAAAAGCATCAAGGACATTTCCAAGTTTTCAGATTCTGTTTTTATTTATTCAAAAATATTTTTTTTGCACCAGAACGCCCTTGTATGTTTTTTCTTTACACTGATAACCATACTTTCTAACTTTGAAGCTGTACTTCATTTATTCACATATGTAATTTTAGGTGGAAATTGGCCCTAAAGCCCTCAGGCATTTTAAGATGCACGCTTCTCTCTGTAAACTAATTGTTCAATAAATGTCTCGAATGCGATCGAAAGCTCTCATCTCTACCACATTCTCACTGCAGCTGTTAAACCAAACACTTGTTATGCAATATTCCCTCATAGATTGAGCTGCTGGGATGTGGTTTGGTCAGATGGATCGATGAAGGACTGACGTTCATTTATTACTCATTATTTTCATTCGAACTGCAGTTTTACAAACCAGAACTGAGCCCAAAACTTTGAATAAATAATTTGTTTTCTTTAATTTACACGTGAGGTCCCTGTAGTTTCACCTTGATCTTGCACTATTAAAAGCCATCAAAACATTGTTGGCAAAAATTGGTGACGTTTTTTAACAAAATATGGCCTCAATTAATCTCAATAGCTCCTCTTGTTCACTTTTTCTGATCAGACCCTACCCTCTGATAGCATGCACAGAAATATAGACTCCATTATCTAGATTTCCCATGTTGATGCAGTTAATCACGACTATCGATGGTTCTGTTTCCATCTCTCTCTGGCAGGTCTGCAAGAGTCGTGTCTGGATGAGTTGGCCCTGGAATCCCTCCTCCCTTTGCCTCTGCTGCACAACTGCGTCCGCCTGGTAAACAAAGACACTTTGGGGAAAACAGGGGAGGCAGAAATCAGCAGAGTGAAAATAAATGAGGAAGCTGCCACTATGAGACACGCTTATAGCAGCTGTGACGCCCTCTGCTGGCTTTTGCTTAGGGAGAATGATGCAATCTGCATGAAAGATAAGCCACTTAGATGTTTTTAGGAGCTTATCCGTCACACTTTACCATTCAGTAATCAGAAATAAGGTTACATTTTCAAAGAAGCTGATCTGATACCTTTCTGGGGTCTGCTTCTCTGTGTTAAGGTGGAGCAGTATGGGAACCTCTTTTTTCACGGCCTGGAGGGCAGCTGCCAGGAGTACATCGCCAACGTGGTCGCTCACTGCATCAAGGTACCAAAGCCGATCGGTTCCACCAGAAATGAAACAGAGACCCTCCGCAGTCAGCCGCGGGGGGTTGTGAGGCGTAGTCCGTCACTGTAGGAGCCGCATCATTGCTCTGGTTGCCATGGCAAAGAGTTTTTAACACAGATCTGTAAATGTGTGAAATAATCTTCAGAATACTACTAATCCTCCTTAGCCATGCTCCAGGCTTTGACATTCTTTAGTGTTTTGTTGTCATAGCGACGTGAACAAACGATGTACAGACCATAAATGCTCCATCTCTCTTCAAAAAACAAAATAGAACTCCTTTGTTTTCATTCACATTCTCCTCCTGCTCCACTGCTCCACTTCCCTCGGCGCATAGTAGTACTTCTCTTTTGTTTCCATGACAACGTGCGTCTTCCCTCGCTCATCCCGTCCTCTCATTTCTGCCGCTGTGTTTGTATCAGTGGAAACAGGAGGCGGAGGGAGCGAACTGCGACGTGGTGAGGGTGGAGGTGGAGGAGAACCTGAGCAAAGAGCAGCTGCTGGAGACCTTCATCAACTGTGGTGAGAAACTTTCAGAGCTGGACGCTCATCCACGTCATCTGATTCATCTAGAATAAGCACTAAGAAGAACATGTCTGAGTTTTTGGGGAACCGCTTTAGATATGGTCCAGTGGGCAGATTTACAGGTTTTAACTCAGCAAATTAACTTTATGACCCAAGCTGCAGAGAGAGGTACATAACAGGGGTTCCAAGATAGGGGGGGCAGGACCCCAAGGGTGCATCACAAGATGGTTTTCACCATCATTGTGATGTGATGCCAGAGGCAAATGGAGGGCAAACATAAAAATATAATTTATGAATAAGTACAAAATTCATATTTCAATTATGAAATATCCCATTAAAGGATTCAAAATACATTTAAAATGATTTAGATTTAAAAAAAAATCTCCCTTTAGATAATAAAAGATTAATTTAAAGTAATGAATTATGTAATGTAATTATTTGTTTTAAATCTATGTAATTTAATAAGAAAAATATTAAAATAAATATTAAAAAGAATTGATATACTTCACTTTTTATATATATGTAGAAATTACTACGGTAAAAAGTGATCATCTTTATTTTTAGGGGTCTGTTGCCTTATTTATTTTGGGGTCACAGGCTGAATTTTTCGGAAAGCCCTGGTACTGTACCTGAACTATCTATACTTTCACTTAGTCATTATGTCAATAGGCACTTTTGCTCTTATTTATTTTACATTCACTGCATAGAAATATCGATTTGGCTAAAATTTGAGGTCTTGTTATTGAGGAAGAATTTGTTTACACCGCAAAGACCGTTCTAAAAGTCAGTAATTTTCTTAAATAAGTGTACTTGCCCTTAATTTGAGCAGATCAATAAGATGATATAACAGTGTGTATGAATAGAAAATATGCCTTTTAAATGAACAAATATCTAGTGTCTCTATTTGCTCATCCAGGAGGAGTGAATCCTGCAGTCAGAGACTGGATGCAATCAGCTGGTTTTCCTAAGATAGAAACTTTGAACCAATCTCATTAGATGATCTGGTTGAATTTTCTCTGTAAAGAACCAACATGTCATCTATGTGTTGTTAATTCGCATTATATAAATAAACTGAATTGAATTGAAATTAGATTAGAAGTTTTATTTTTTTCAACATAAATCATTTTATTCCAATAACAAATCGATTTTACCTTCAAAGGAAAACACTTATTTTAAAGAAAATGGACTCATTAGATATAAATTGTTTTAAATGGAATATGTATTAACTATTCTGCTGCATTTAATTCTGCATAATTAATTACTGCCTTTAAAGCTGATAAATCTGAGCTATTGTGAACACTCTGCATTAGTGGTGCTAAGGTGTGTGTTTTTTTTGCCTGTAGATGACTCTTTAAATGATGCTTTTTACTTGTGGTTTATTTCTTTATTTCTAAGATAGATGAGATACATTTGGGTTTTTTTAGAGGATGTACATATAATTTTCTCTTCAGAGAACAGAGTCGTGAACGATTCACTGACTTCATTTAGAATACCAGGATGTCTTTGGGCTTAATTCACTATTTTCCTAACCTGACAACAGCCAGATGCCAGTCTCGCTCCGCCTAGCTCCACTCACATACATCTGGGAAACCGCCATAGGAATTGCCTTTACTGAAGGCTGGGCCTTATCAAAACTCCTTGCAAATGATTGGATAAGCCACTTGTCTGTCATCTTTATCGACGTGCTATTTCAACCACTCACACCGAAGCTAACCCGTGACGCTGTGAGAGCTACGCAGGAAAAAAACAAAACAGAACATCCGACATCTTGGATATAGCAACAGTGGAATCAGCGCAATGTCGGTAAATGATCAATGTCGTTTGTGTCATGAAAATGTGCGGATAAAAGACAACATTGTGCACAGCAGACTTATTTTAAAAAAAGAAGCCAACCAAAAAAGTATAGACGAACGACTTACAGAACTCGCTTCTCCACTACGTCACATGCAGGAAACACCCGCCCTGCGTCCTGATTGGCCAGACCATAAATTCGGCTGGGAAAATCACTTTCAATGAGCGGTGTCCCAGATGTATGTGAGTGGAGCTAGGTGGAGCGAGACATGTATCTGGCTGTTGCCAGGTTACTATTTTCCTCCAATTCTATAGTTTATTGTTGGAAGAGGGATTATTGTGTGATGTTTCTTTTCCATCTCCAGAAGAAATAATTTTGATTTATGGCTCAATGAGCACAGTTCAGCAACATAGAAACTCTAAATGAATGAAGGACAAATAGCTTTCTGTTCAAATTGCGTTTCCCAGATCACCTTCTCTTCACTCCTGGAGGCAGGCTTTCCTCTGAGAATGTGATCTGAAAAATGCAATTTGAAAAGAATGAAATTTGTAAAATAAATTTGAAAATTTAAAATAAAACCTGAGAAATGTTTTTCTTGATAAAGAGTTTTTTCAGAGACTTACTTACAGAACATGTTATTTGCAACAATAAAGGAACAAATTTCACTCCATTTAAATACCATAGTCTAATTTTAATGTATAAACATTAAACAACCTCATTAGCTCTAATTATCCTCCTGATTTTTCTGATCTCATCCTGACTGATCGTCTGTCGGTCGTCTGGAACTTTCTTTTTTTTCTCCAGGCTTCCTGGTACCAGCGGTGCCCTCAGGCTTTGGACGGGTAGCTGGACACACTGACCGCTCCGTAGTGGTTCTGCTGGAGGGATTGGAAAAGGCTTCGTCGTTAACAGGCTTGCTTGGAGATCTCTGTGTCAGCTTGGACAACAGAGGCTCCGCCCCCCCTCTGATTCTGAGCACAGGTATGCAAAGCCCAGACGCTCTGTAGCAACTTACAGTAGGTACGGTTTCCTCTTTGCTTAACTTCTCCTATCCAACACAACAGGGCTTAGAGTCAACACTACAGCATTAACGGCCTTGGAATAAAATCAAACGTTGTCCTCCATTGGAAAACAATCAGAAAAAACATTTAGAGTTTAGAATACTGTAAACAGATCCATTTCTATGGCTAAATTCAGAGGCAGCTGGACATTGGAGTTCGAAGGACTCGGACTTGCAGCTGTTTGGTTGTTGCCATTATCAGGATGGCTGAGAATGATCTTGACACAAAAACCTGATTTAATAAGAAATGTCTCAATCTTTAGCAAGAATAAGAGTGTATTTCCCCTTAATATTAGCAGCTAAGTAAGATGATCTGTCACTGGAATACGTATTTATGCACTGAAAATAAGATAATCAGATATTATGCAGTTGAAATAAGATAAAAAGTTGTTTATTCTTCATCATTTTATATTGGTAAATTGTCTTACCTGTTTGAATCAAGGGGAAATGCATTTAGTATAAGAACAGTTAACTTCCTATTATTATTTCTGAATGTCTTTTATGCAGAGCAAACAATGCTCCACTGCAAAATCGGGTAAAAAGATAAATTTAAATTTCTTAAAATAGGCATATTGGTCTTTAATTTAAGCAGGTGAATGAATGATTTGCAAATACAGTGAGTGAATTTTTAACATAAATCCTATTATTCCAATGGCAAAATGTCATGATCTTGGCACTGATGACTGGATTATTGGTTTATTTCATCCACCTGCCTAGCTCCGCCCAGTTTTCATTATTCAGTTCCTATTTAATCTGCTTGGTCCCAGCCATCAGCGCCAGGTTATTCAAGCCGTAGGTGAGAGTTCTCTAGCTTACACAGTTTGTCATCCTGATTGCCTGATCCTGAATAGTTTCTGCTCCCTGACCTCTGAGCCTGCCCGCCTGTGTTCTGATCCGTTTGCCTGACATGTCTTCTGACTCCTGCTGGATTCTGCCTGTTACCGACCCTGGAGCTGTCTCCCGACCCCGGTTTGGATTTCATTCGGTACCTCTTCGGATCTCTGATCTTCTAGCCTGGACTTCTGTTTCCTCATTGACACCGGATTTCGCTTCTCCCTCCGGAAACTCCTGCTCTTCTTCCTCTCCTGACTCCTTCTCATAAGTCTGCTTTGCAGCACCTTTGGCTTCTACTCCTGGAGCTCTCTGGGTGGTGTCCGCCGCGTGCTGTGGAAAATCATCCAGCTGGATTCCACTCCTTCCTCTGGACTCGGACTGAACTTTATAACCAACGATTCCAGCCATCTAATCCTAGCTACTGAGACGCAAACCTTCTAGCAGCAAATAAATGCTTTTCTAAACCTCTTTAGTCTGTCAGCCTGAATTCTAGGTCCAACGTTCTGAGTCCTGACAGAAAACATCTTATCTGTTTAAAATAAGAAAAAAATCAGTTATTTCAAGAAAAATAATATTACTTAGATTTTAAATTTTTACAGTAAAGTTGTCCCCCACTCACCCTACCTGCAGACAAGGTCACCTCAGTTATAGCTTACCTGGATTTATGAGGATAATCATTCATTTGTTATAGAAAATGTGTTGTCTGCATTGAGCCCATCCCTCGAGCAGGGGTGGGGTTTAAACCTGCCGCCTTCTTATGGAGAGCTCCTGCAGCACGTTCCGACTTTTAGGCACATCTTAAAGCATTTCAAGCATTTTGAACTTCTATTTGAGACGCGCATAAATTTCAGCCAAATCTCAGATGCTGGAGTTGGAAAATCTGAACTCTGCGGCTCACAACTTGCAGGAAGACCGACACTGCATCCAAACCGTGATCATAAAACCATCAACATAAACTTTATATTTATAAAGATGTTACTCTTCACCAGTTCTACATAAAACACCATTAGTTAGTATGTTTTCATGACAAAAAAAAAAAGTGAGAGTGCAGTGACTAAACCACTAAGATATTTTGTAACTGGATTGTGGCACAATAGTTTATGAATATCTGCATACAATAACAAAAGTTCCAGGCAAAATATGTTTGGTTTTTTTATTCCGGAACTTTCGGGTTTTGCTACCTAAAAAAAAAAAAATACAAGTATTCCCCTCCAGCCGCTATGACCAGTAACAGGGAAATTTAATGACCAGAAGCATCCAGGATGATGCGTTAGAAGCCTTTCTGATGCTCTCTAATGATGAAATGCGCTGGAACAGACAGTGACTGATAGCTCACCCGTTTCATTTTTTCTTTCAGTTCTGTTTTAACTATTACTTAAAAATGAAGGTGCTAGATTCAGTCATATTGAGATAGACTTATTTAAAATAAGCCAAAAATATGTGATATTCCTGAATTACTGATGCAAGTTTATTGATTTTATATTTTAGTAGTTATTTATTTAGCAACTAGTTTGATTGGTTTCTCTTTTTTTGCCATTTTCTTGTTGGTAAAATTAAAATTTTTAAGCCAAAAATACAAATTTTCAAATTGAATAAAATAAAACTTTAATTAAATTAAATTTCACTTGATTCAGTCCATAAGTTGCTCTTTTGTTCTGTGCCACTACTAGTAAATACTGTTTAGAACCGCCACTGGTTCTAGGACCCGCCTGCTTAGGGGTTCTGTTTCCAGTAGCAGCTGTATCTGCAGGTCTCCTGAAAATGGTCTTCCTTTGGTTTGATCTTTGAAACTTCACATATATTCTTAGTTGGAGGAACTGCTGCCAGTAAGGACAGGATGTAAGCACCTGTCCGCTGTCACTGTCTGGAGAAAGGAAGGCAGCAAAGACTCCAGGAAACCTGGTTTTCCCTTTAACACATTTGGAAAATAAACAGGAGTTAAATGCAGTGTTTGACATCCAGGATTAAAATGAAACATTACATCTGTTTGGATTATTAGATCCATTTGAGATTATTTGTTTTAAATCTAAAGGATGAGGATTGAGCTAAGCCATCCCGGACAGCACTGGGCTGGACACTTTAACATCTGCCATCTTTCTTTGCATGCAGGTTCACACAACGTCGGAGAGAACAACTTCCTGATTGGCACGTTATCTAAGCCCCGCCTCCAGGGATCAGAGCTCCGCCTCCAGCAGCATTTCCGCTGGGTGATGCTGCGCTGGGACCAGGAGCCGCTGCACGGCCTGCTGGGAAGGCACCTGCGCAGGAAGCTGCTCCTTAAGGTGGGTCAGAGGTCGGACTCCAGCTGCCTCTGGTTTGAGTCGATGAAAGCAGGTTCTCTGGTTGTGATGCTCCTGTTAAACCTCTGCCGTGATGTTCCAGCTGGGGACTGGAGTTTGGTCGGCGGATGGCCTCATGGAGCGCTCCGTGTTGTGGGTGAGTCAGGTTTGGCAGCAGCTAAATGCCTGCCTGTCCCGCCTGGGCACCCACGAGGCTCTGCTCGGGCCGCAGCTCTTCCTGTCCTGCCCTGTGGTTCCCAACAACGTTCAGGCTGTTGTCAGGTGAGCATCTGGATAAAAGTACTGCCTACCGTTGTTCTGACGGTTTCCTGCCTGTTGTCCGTATGATGGGGTTATTCTCCAACAGGTGGCTGGCCCGTCTCTGGAATGCCGTAGTCGTACCAGGGGTGGAAGCGGCGGTCATCTCTCGCGTTATGACCAAACGCCCCGCCCCCTCGCCCCCATCGCCGTCTCCCTCCCAACGACCATCTCTTAGCAACTGTGGTTTGAGTGCCGGACAGCAGGCGGTGGTGAAAGCCGCCCTCAGCATTCTGGTCAACAAGGCTGTCATGCTGGGATGCCCCCTGCCTCGCCACGGTGGGTGGGCTGCAGAGATGACAAAACAGAAGAAGAAGAAACACATCCTGATATTTTTTTTTTGTTAGTTAATCCTATAGAAATGGACCGGTATCTGCTGGAGTTTGAGGGGAGCTCGTCTCCTCTGCCAGCCCTTGGTTCATGTAAGGGAGGCGCAGGAGAAAGGAGACGAGGACGAGACGGCAGCAAGCTGAGACGCTCCAACACCAGCCCCAGAAAGAAGGGAAGCCCCTCCTCTAGTTGGAGCTCTGGAGGCTCCTTCAGAGAAGGTAAGAACCAGAGGATCTGTTCAGGCACAGAATCAAAGAGGGACTATATCTCTTTAAGAGTTCAGAATGCACCCTAAATGCACCAGGGAGCATTTTCACAGCTGTAAGACTTTATATCCATCACCGTTCCCAACAATCTCAATAAGCTTTTACAATGAGGCTGATTTTTGCAGTTTCTGTCTTAGTCAGTCAAATAACTTGCTGCTGTCATTTTTTTGCATATATCTGCTATTTTTCTTATATTGATTACTGTAAAAATGTCCACAGCTGTTATTGATTTTTGTGTGACAATTTCTGCTATAACCTTTTGCTGCTGTAAACACCACAATTTCTTCATTGTGGGACAATAAAGGGATTTTCTATTTATTTTCTATTTTAACATTCTGGTCCACATTTTCCGGGGTGTAATGTTTGCAGTGTCCACAAGGTGGTACTGCTTGATAGTCCTGATAAAGGTGGACGGAACACAGCTTTAGGCTCTACTGCCAGCATTGAAAAACTAAAATAAATAATATCTACCTCCTATGACCTATCAGATGCTGCAAAATCTAAGAAAGAGAATCCAAATAAACTGAAAGCTGCAGAGTTTTGCAAAAATTCGATAAAATTAGTTGAATTTGTGTGATTTCAGGTGCGGTCTCCGGCTCTGACGTCAGGTTCATGTCCAACGGCCACAGGTTGGTGTCTGAGCTCAGCCCTGCTGCTGCAGCTGGATGTGACTTAAACGTAGACATAAAGCAGCTAGAAGCTTCACCTGCGATGTTATTGTTTGGGTTTGCAGGAGGTCGGCTGGTCTGCCGGCGTTCCTAGACGATGAGACGGATCTGATCAGGGAGCTGCAGAACTTGTGTTCCAGCAGGTCCGAGCCGGACATTAGCCAGGTACTGTTTGGGATGGAGAGGAACCTAAAGGGTTAACAAGTTCATGCTAAGAGTGTTCAGGAGATTCACCAGCTTTGTCCAATTTTTAGGTATAGATTATTAAAAATAATAAATTACATTTTAATGGAAAACCATTTATCAACTTAACACACATCCTTTTGGAATCAAAAACTTTTTCCAAATTCCTCTATAAATAAGCACATTTATTGCATTAT